GAATCTTGCCACTGCTTGGTGAAGTAAATGGCAAACAATGGGTTATCTTCAATATTTTTCAAGTATGGCAACACTTATACATACAATATTAATTAATATTTAATCAATAATTATCCTACCTAAAAAATAAAAATAATTTACTTACTAAACCAGTCTTTCCATTCATTTTGCAATTGTAGATCGTTGGTCATTTTGGTTAGGAACTCGTTTACTTTGTCTGAACGGTTGTTAGTTAATGCATGTATAAGGTAAAATTTGAACAAACTATTTTCCAATTTTTTGACAGCTGAAAACAAATATATTTTCAAAATTCAATTTTTTTTACATAACTAGGTAGTTGAACAATGTACGAACCATACGATATGTCTTGATCAAGCTTGGAAAATAATTTATTTTCAAAATGTGACCATAGTTCTCTAATCGTTGACAAATCATAGGAATATACTAACTGCAATATTTGTTCAACTAATTTATCCACCTAAAAAAATCAGTATCGTTTGAATTTTTAATGTTGAAGACAGAAGGATGCCTTTCAAATAGTGTTTATGCCTCATTGTACTAAATACATTTATTTTATGAGCAGCGCAATTCCTGTCGAGAAATATCAAATTCTGGTACAACAATTTACCACTTACTCTAAATCCTTTATCTTTGTCAAGTTTCACATCGAAATCAAACCATTTTAGTGCGTTAGTAAATCCTCGAAATAAAAAATATTCTCTGATCAACTCATCGATGTGCTGCATATGAGGCATTGTTGTGTGGCTTGTAAGACAAACTATTACCTATCGAATCATGAGTTTCGTGTCTATCATTATTTAGAATGAAATATTATGAATAGAATTCACAAAAGTTAATGAAAATATTTGCTGGTTGATCTTTGCTAAAAATTAAAAAACATTGCTAAATTGTAGGTACCTATAACATTTTTGAATTTGTTTAATAAATAATATCTTCAATGTTATCACTGATTATTGCAAAAATAAATTATTGATAACATTGCGCAGAGTGCAGATATTAACCCTTTAAGGAGGAACTTTGGGCTACGTAAACACCGTATAAGCGCAATCTGGAATCCGGGGAACAGCTTTGGAATATGAATCTTTTCCAAAAAAATTAATTGCTTAGACTGAAAGATATTATATTAATACTTTCTACTTTTCGGTTTTTACATAAAATATTTAATGTAAGTAGGTATCTGAGTCCTAAGACGTATGAATACTTTTTTTTTTAATTTCACCTTTTTCAGGTAAAAACGAAATAAATATTTTAAATTGTATGATTATTAATACGTTTTTAACAAAATATAGATCCAAATTAAAATAAATAATGACTTTATTATAAATACCTATACCTACTCGGCTACTCAAAATGAATAATTTTGTAAGTTACCTAGGTTCCCAAAAATACCTAATAGGGTATGCAACAAAAACTACAATTAAATTATTGATGGGCTTTGTGTTTACCCTTAAGAAGTTAAGACCTTAACCCTAAGAATCCGTATAATCGATAAATTAAATTAAAAAATGTATGTCAAAGTGGTGGAGTGACGAGTATGATTAAATTTATTTTACTAAAAAATATGCATTCATACACCCAATATTACGGCCTATTGACTGGTTTGAGTGTTTAAGACCACGAACTATGATATCTATAAGTATAATATCTATCTTTTATTCAGATATTTAATCTAGTCTGAATCTTGGAATCGTAAGAAGTAGGATTTTACCTATCCTATTTCAATATTTCATTATGAATTTTTTAACTTTTTATCGATTTATTTATTTAACTGATTAAGAAAAATATAAAAATACCCGATTTTTTATGATTCTAAATGAAATTTTACTTAACAATTTTTACAATATGTTTTTTTTAGTGCTAAACCACTCAGCAGGCAATTTCAGTAATCAGGATTTCAGGAAGTATTGTTGACTGTTGTATTGTAAATTGTTATCACGAAACCATGCTTTTCAGTAAAAAAAGTGTTATCTTGTGCAATATTTATATTTTATTTGTATTTATCGGTTTATGTTCCATTATTTTTTGTAAACTCAAACCGTATCTAAAATTTTAATATTTTGTGATAGTTTTGTTGATTACTCTACTATTTTTAAAAACATTTTGAAAAGTTTAAAACTATTTATTTTAAATTGTGTCTATATATAGCAGGGGTGGCCACAACGAGGCTCGCGAGCCGCATGCGGTTCTTAAATCAATTTCGTGCGGCTCTTGAACCAAACTTAGACCAAAATTAATAAATATATAATATTTTCATAAGAACCGTAAGATAGTAGTTTTTAATGCCGTCAGTTTCATTATCATTTTAGTCGTTATTAGGTATAGATTGGCACGGCAGCGGCGGTTACGGAGCTTTTAATATATGTAGCCAAAAATAATCACTGTTTCGACTTTCGACCACTCCAGAGTTTCTTCATTTGATTTAAAATGAAAAATGTATCTTCATTTTATAAACATTGCTTTACAATGGACAACATTTATATAAATTTAGAGAAGTGGGCAAGTGGGTACACTGCTATCTACAAAGGTGTTTTTATTTGAATTAACCAGTTAATTTTTTTTCAAAATTTCCAATTTAACTAGTTTAATTGGTAATTCAAATAACTTAGCTTTTCACAGTTGACTTAAAAATTAAAATCTTCCAATACTATAATAACACAAACCTTTCTGTTATTTATAAAAAAAAATTGTAGAGGTATTATGAATATATTTTAGTAGATTAGATAGGCATAAAGCCAAAAGGCATACACAATATTATTATATTAGTATGTTTCCAGTACAATTTACAATAATTATCGATAAGAAAAATACAGCCAATAACCAAATTCTGGAAATTGGAAAAACAATGCTAAAAATAACTTGAAAATTAAATTATCGTATTAGCAATAAATATAGTTGTATACACGCGTCAAATATTATGATATGCTGTTTTTACTTGTAGACAATATTATGAACTACCTATATTTTATAATATATAGTACACTTGCATTGACAAGACATTATTTCTAAACTATAAATTCAAATTGTACGGAATAATGTTATGTACTTATGTATAAGGAAAAAGTGGCCCCTTGATGTATATTATAGTATTTTTCGAACACTTCGGTGCCACAGCTGTACATTATGATAGCAAATTCAATAAAATTGATTATTATATCCATGATTATTATACTACGATATCTTAAATAATATCTGTGATTATATCTATACAATTTGTAAAGCTAACATAGTAATGTAATAGAAGTCTTACAGTTTGAACAAATGTTTATGTATTAAAATTAATTGCTGCAAGACGTAAGTACTTAGCCAATATCGAAATCCAATAAAATATATAATACCAATAAATATAATTAATTACATTTTTAAAATTAATATTAATTATAAAAATGGTTATAGTATGTACATTGTCCGGATACTTGTGAAATACATTTTATAATTGCAAACGAAGATATGATATAATATTTTATATTTTCGGACTTTTTGTCCGAAAATAAAACATGAGGGGACCTTTTGTCACGCTTTTTTTTTTGAATGGACTTATTGATCGATTACCTACTGCAAAGAGTACATAGCTTTTTTTAGTTTTCAACAAAAAGATTTTTCCAGTGAATTTGATATAATTGGTATAGTCGGCTTTGGATTCTGCTTTACATTTTGCTCTTAGCTTGGAAACGTTTTATTAGATTGTGATAAGTCCATAACGTTTATTTAGATTATAATATATATATATATATTTTTTAATGCCCTGGGGCTTTATTATTTAAACGACCCAAGGGTCTTTATAAAATGTGTTTAACAATTAAATATATTTTACAAAATAGATATAAATTATGTATATTTTACACGTTGATGGAGTCACTTCCAATGAAGTGGCCCCCGCCTTGATCTAAAATCTTAAACTAAGTCGTATGGTTTCAGACGCTTAAGACGTCTGATGTCCTTGGAGTTATCTAATAATTGGATGGCCAATGGATTGGCATGGTTATCTAGTTTCGTCTCGTATTGGCGAGCAAACCTTTGAATTTCGTCTGCTACTATAGGCAGCATCATATCACTGTGAATTGCGTTGTTTTTTTCGAACGGGTAGGCTGCAGTGATATGGTCCGAAGAGCAATGTTGAGTATTTGTGTCCAAATACTAGCATCAGCTGTTATGTTTTGCGGCGGAATTGTACCGACATCCATATTTTCATACATTGTGCAATTCGGTCAGTTTGAGTATGACCCACTTAAAATATACCTATTTGTTTATAAAAACTCATCATGAGTCCAACCGGCCGTGGTTTCATTGTAAACATTAACAAAAAATTATCATAACTTGGACAGCATTATTTCGTGAACTGCGGAAGCGAAATATATGTGATGCTTGTTCGGTGTGCAAAACGCAACAGAGATTATATATGAGCAAATTTTTTTTTCAAATATTAACCTTTTGAGGTCAAGGGAAACCCCTCAAGAAAACTTGGTATGGAGCAAAATAACATATTTACCGCTCAAGTTGTTATTACACAATATATATTTTGTTTCATGGCATACCTTCCGACGATGAATGATGATAACCATATTTATAATTCCAAGCAGATCGAGTTATCTGTCCTAAGGGTTAAAATATTCATAGTGTAAAATGAAGTGATTAACCTATCTAACCTAATTTTTAAAGTAACAGTTAAAAATGTCACATTGATTGAAATTTTCCCTGAAATCTTTTAGAGGGTGAACACAACTCCGTAGTTCATAAATCAAAAATTGAATCAAAATCCCCGCGCAAAACCAACAGCCTCGTAAGAACGTTACCATATTGACCATAACTCCGGTTATGCTTTACATGGTTATACCTTGGTATACAACTATAAATACACAGTTGAAATGATTATTACCGTGGTCAAGCATCACTAGAGTATTCCGAATGAATACTGGGCTTCGGGAGTCGGGATACGAAATATTTTTGTTGTAATAATTTTAGTTTGTATTGAAGTACAGTACAATATTACATATTTGGCATTTGCTTGCCCATGATTTAACACGACTAAAATAAAATCATTGCGTCACGGTGATTTTTAATCTCCCAGTTGTATTAAAATATGTCATATCGATTGAATAAAAAAAAAAAAACAAACAATACAAAAATATTATTTGTTGATGTCAGCCATCTTTTATTTTGATAATAATTCACACTTATCAGGTAAACTATAATACCATGTGTTGTTACCGTTATTACGCCAATACTGAATGCCATTCGTTGTAACTTGTGTAATAGAAATATAACTTTCTTGTGGAATAGAGTATATTGTACTCGACGTATATCCATTATCGCACGTTAAACGTCGCGCTAAACGAATTTCCGGACTGCAATTAGCTGCAGTGTATGATTACTGTTGAATCGGTTCAATCAGTGGTCATAGGGTGTTACGCGGAGACGATACTAACAACCGAGCTTGGCCGCACATCATCAAAACTTTAGCGGTGAGTATTTTATGGATTTGTAATATTTTGGAGGGGCACGTGTCACGTGTATATACCTTTAAACTAAATTGAATTAACTAGTTAATAGGATTATGGACACGTAGGTATTAGCCATTACGTCCGGGCGTGTGCCGTTGTTGTGGCGTGATGAGTACTGATGTGACTTGTTGGTATTTGTAGATAATGTTGAGTGACGAGGAAACTCCGAACACAGAACCGTCTACTTCGGAGACTACTAACCCAGCTGCTGGTTCTGAAACCGAAGTCACTAATGACGACCACCAACTCCAGAGCACGTCTGTAGCTGATCCAAACGCTGGTGCCTTGGAGGTGGCCGAAGACAAGACCGTGGCAAACGATGAGTACATCCGCCTGCGTGTCATCACTAGTGACATGACTAATGAGGTGCACTTCCGAGTAAAAGCCGCAACAGCCTTGGTTCGCCTGAAACGCTCGTACTGCAGCAAGTTGGGTTTTCAGGTAGATGAACTGCGTTTTGTGTTTGATGGTCATCGAATCACTGACGAAGATACACCAAAATCATTAGGAATGATTAACGATGATGTTATTGAAATCTACCAAGAAAGAACGGGTGGTATGTGATGTAAACGTGTAAAGTTAATTTAATTCTTAATTTAATATCTAGGTTTTTTACTGAAGTGTCTTAAAAGTTAATGATCATCACAAAATAAATATGTGTTTAATACAAACAATATATGTTAATGGTGGTATTTCAATAACAACATTTTTAATTCCACAAATAGAAAAAAAAGTATTCTTGAACAGCATTAGTTAAATGTATCCATTCCAAAATGATACAAAATTCAAATTTGTTAACAAAGTTCAATCTTTACATCTATAAAAAGAATGTTAACTTTAATTGTTTTCTTAAATTAAATTAAATATACAGACGATCCAAGGTTTCCTCATTTGTTTTGTTTACCTTGTAGTTTGTGGGGACTGTATACTATCCTGTAATTCATACCAATTTTATTTAAGTGACTTTTTGAATTGTACGAATAATGAAGTAATATCATTTGATGTAGAATAATGCTATTTATATGCTTTAGTACCAAAAACTAGATACCAAAATAATTGTTTTTATGTCTGTGTTGATCTATCACCCCGTATATACATATATTTATAGTTCTTTTTAACAGTTCTTTCTTTATTTGTAGATGACCTCTTTTATCCTATCATTCAATATTTTTTTAATCAATATGTTTACTAAATTATTAATATATGCTTTCCAAATTTATTTTCCTTATTTTTATTATTATGTACGCTATAGAGAACAATTTAATGTTATTTATTTAAAAAATGTGTTAAAATTTTTTTTTTTAGATTATGACAATATTTTTTATACAAATATAAAAAATCCATACAAAACTTGTTTTAATTTCTATTACTTATATACAGTGTGATCACGATTTATGGTAACACTAAATATCTCAGGTGCATGACCTTGTATTGAACTGGGGTTTTCGGGAAGTGATAGGGAGCACTTAAATACATATTTTCAGACCAGTTTCAAATTTTTAGCTCACTCGGTATGCGCATGCGCAATACAACTTACTTTTTTTTAAATGTCAACCCCAGTTTTTTTCTGCAGATTCAGGTAGAGTATTTTTTTTAAAGCATTTTTTGTATCAACAGTTTTTTTCTATTTTCAAAACTGACCAAGTTAGAGTAAGTCAAAATTTAGATTTATGCATAATTCGTATTTATTGAAATTTTTATTTATAACCACTGGAAATAATAAAATAAGTGCCAAATAAATGTTTAATTTACTTTATCTGTTTACAAATAATAATTTATTTTTACAATATGTTTAGTAAACTCTTATAATACGATTACAATTTAATAGTACCTAATATTAATATTAAATAAAAAATAAAATGTATTAAATACATATATCTTATGAATTGTTCAAAATTTTCGCCATTATGTTCTAAACATGATTCAAGTCGCCTCAAAAATTCAGTCGAAGTTGCCGCCTTGATTTGTTCTTCACTTAAAATATCACATGCTGCTTGTATTTTGTTTTTTAAGTCCTGAAGATTGACAGGTGGATCTGCATAAACCACAGTCTTCAAATAACCCCATAAAAAGAAATCCAATGGCGTTAAATTTGGGGATCGTGCTGGCCAAGGAATGACGCCAAAAGTTCCAATCCAGCGATTCGGAAATATTTGATCTAAATGTCGTCTAACAATAATTGCATTGTGTGCTGGTGCTCCAACTTGCTGGAAAAACATACGTTCTCGTGTGTCTAATGAAACATCATCCAACAGTCTTGGTAGTTCATTGGTTAAAAAATTAAGGTATCGTCTGCCATTAAGTGTACCATCATAAAAGAACGGTCCTATTAGCTTTCCACCAACTAACCCACACCATACATTAATTCCCCAGACCGTTTGAAAATTAGTTTCACGTGACCAGTGTGGGTTTGTGTCATCTCAGTATCGATGGTTTTGTTTATTCATAATGCCATTGTTAGTGAATTTTGACTCATCACTCCAAAGAATATGATTAACAATCATAGGATTATCATATAATTTAATATTGAACCAAGCTATAAATTCCAATCTACGAATAGAATC